CCCCAAAACCCCAAAACCCCTCAATAGTATTATTTCACAGATTGAGAAGTTAAATTAAATAAATATTTAAATTACAAAATGCAAAGTATTAGTAATGGTAGTTAAAATTTATAGCTAGAAATTTAAAACCCATCAAGCTCGCAAATTTCTAATTATGATGAATTAATGAATGGCTCCAGGATATTAATTAGATCTGATAGAAAAATAAACCCATTCCAAGAGATAACTAATTTTAAATGACTCAGCAACTAGATTAAGCCTCATTAATCAGAAACATAGGAGCCTTTGATATCAGAAATGAATTCCATGATTGATGAATAATTCCGCAAATAATAGTATAGTGTAAAAAATGAGTCGAAGTAAAAAAGTTTCAAGCAATTGAAAATTAATAGTAAGAGAAAGCAAGATGTACCTATGCTATTTGAAGAGGAATGTATAAATAAAAAAAGTGATAATAGCGATATACGTATTTATAGCTAAGCTTTATTGGGAATAGAAAAGCTTCATTTAAAAATGAAATATAATGATAAATTTCCTAAATCTAAATGAGAAAGAAGACTATTATAGTAAAGTAAATATGATCAAGCGGCGAACTAATAATTAAATGTAGATAATAAGCCTATTAATTTCTTAATAAATTATACTCAATTATTGTTATTATCATTTCGGTTATTTAGAAGCACTCTAACTCCATAGGACGCTGCTTCTAAGTTAACTTCTTTGATTAGATGATTGGGCAAATCATAGAATGAGTCCATCTTCATCACAGATTGGTAGTGCAATAGTATAAAGTTTATAGCCATCTTCTTTAAGTCCTCTGCTTGTACACCTATCTCACTCACTTTCTTAAGAATTATAGTACAGTTGTCTAAACTGATTGACGGCTCAATGGCGTCTTAACATAGCTTCCTAAGTTTATCAACTCTGAACTCATGAGAAAGTTTCAGCAAATCTAATAAATGCTCAATCTCAAATATATCATCATTTTGATTGCTCTTGAAGGATTTTATGTTGTCTGTGTAAAGATATTCTATCAAGGCGAGGAAAGCCTTGTACTTAACTTCAGTAATTTCCATAATAACATGATTAGGGTGATTGATTCCCCACCTAATTTTATCTCTATCGTCACTTCTTCTTGAGGATTGCCTGATCTTTTCCTCTATGTTCTTACACCTAACAAACAATATACATCTATGAGCATGAAGTGGTCTCCCTTCGACTATAAATGTTACATCTGCCCTGGAAGGCTCATTAATTATTTTTTTCATGTCGGTTGAAAGTTAAGATATCCCCTTCTTTTTCTTTTGCTTAACTAACACAATAGTATGATAAAATCCACCAGCAATGTCTATTACTTTTTTATCATGTAGCGTTGCTACCTATTTGGGAAGCTTTTAGTCTTCTGTATTTCCATGTCCTAACTACCCATGATTTCCTCTTCCAAATGTAAATAATTAGCCACTTTCACATAGAGCTATTGAGTGATAACAGCCACAAGCAATTTTAGCAATATTAACTTTTTTACCTACATATTAAACTGCTGGTTATTAATTGTTAAGGTTATTAGACTCTGCTAATCCTTGCATTATCATAGCCTCTTCCATCGCATTTTAGCCGATGTTTTGATTTCCAGAGTTAAAAATGTTTGAGACAGATAAGAATTCTTGTATTTATTTAGGCGAAACTAGGGCCTAACCATTAGTCTCAATTCCTAATTAGCCTTTATCATTCCTTCCAAATGCATATATCTCTCCTGTGTCTCTTCTCACAATAGTGTGATAATATCCACAAGCAGCTTGAACAATAAATTTATTTTTGAGACTTTCAATAAAGACTGGTGTATTCCTCGATCTAGTGTCACTGTGACCCAATTACCCATTATCATTAAATCCGCAAGAGAATACTTCTCCATGCATAGTTACAAAGACTGAGTGATGTAGTCCACAAGCAGTTTATATAACTTATCTATTGCTCAAACCCCTAATGATTTTGGGGGTGATTTCATGACAGGTATGTTCTTATCCTAACTATCCATTGTCATTTCTACCAACACTATAAACAGATGTAGTTTGCTTGTTGAGTTGCCTGAGATCCTAAGTCACAATAACGGAGTGATAATAGCTGCATGAAACATTCGTTACTTGTGTATCCTTTAGTGCCTATACTAAAGTTGGTGTAGAGAGATTTGATTATGTTCCATGTCCAAGTTATCCATAGTTGTTGTACCCACATGTGTATAGTTTTCCATCTTGGGAAATTAGAGCTAGATTTTCACAACCATTTGCTGATGATATTTATGTGATTCTAATATTCTTAAGAGAGTCTACTTTCTTGGGGGTTGATATCCTAGACTTTTATTAACAACGATATATATTACGATTTGTTATTTCCATGTCCCAATTGCCCACTGCCATTGAATCCCACTGTCAGGACATCACCACTTCTTGTCAAAACCGCAATATGTTCATTTCCTGCAGCTATTTGCATCACATTAAGCTCATCAAAAAATCTAACTTAACTAGGTATACTTCTTTCTTAGACATCGCCTAAATAGTATTATAAGACTTATATTTACCTAATCCTAGTTCTCCATATGAATTTTGGCCGAATACAAATACCAAGGGAGCTCCAGAGCCACTAGAGCCTTTATTCCCCTCTACTCTACTGATAGAGAGTAAACTCGAATCCCTCGAATAGTCTATTCCACTTTAGTTCGATGATTCAAGGCTGACCACGGATTAAGAACTAATTCTGCTTGAAGGATCTTGAAAATTATTGATAAGCTAATGCTAATTGTTAAAGCTATCCATTTAAAATTTTATTAAAATAACATTTTTAAAAATAGATTAATAATATTCTTTGAAACTTTCTTCACCTTCAATTTACAAGGTGGGGTTTTGGGGTTTTGGGGTTTTGGGG